ATCCCACATCCCCCATCCCACATCCCACATCGCCCATCCCGCATCCCATATCCCGCATCCCACCCCTAGGATGCCTCCCACCGGGCACGCTGCCCTCAACCTTCTCGTTCTGGGTGTTGTGGTTGCGAGCAAAGGGGTAGAAGGCACCGAGCTGCATCCAGCGGGTGCACAGCTCCTCCGAGGTGCTGCCGGAGAAGCCGCAGATGTCCGCCCCGACCAGCGGGATGCCGAAGAGGCTGAAACTCAGCAGCCCTGAGGGCAGGGACGGTCAGCAGGGCGCAGGGAGTTTTGGAGATGTCTCCGAACAAGCAGAAAGCTTGATGGAGCTGGGGGTGCGGGTAAGGGGGGGTCTGCACGCAGCCGGTGTCACCCACCTGGGATGGAGTAATACATGTCCTTCCACTGGCTCCGGTTGTCACCCAGCCAGTGCCCTGAGTACCGGCCCTGGCTGGGGAAGGTGGAGCGGGAGATGACGAAGGGGCGCTTCCCCCGGATCTGGATCAACGCGCTGGAAGACAATGGTGAGAGCCAGGAGCAGGAGGTGAGAGCAGCCCAGCACCAGGAGTTCTCCTCATCCCTCAGAAGTGCAGGGAGAGGTCCGGCCCCACCACAGTCCTGCAGCACCCAAGCGGTACAGGGAAGGCTCAGCGCCAGGACCGGCCTCATCCACCCATCCCTCCCAGAGCAGAGCTGGCTCCCCTCCTCTGTTGGGTTATTCCCATCCTGGAGGCTGTGAGCAGCCAGAGCATCTCCCCTTTGGGTCAGGCACTCAAATCCTTGTCCTCTTCCTACACAGCCCTGAGCAGCAGGATTTTGTCCCATCCCATACCCAGGTCGGCAGGAAGCAGGGTGCTGGGTACCTCGCCGTGGCTCTGGCTTCCATCAGCCCGTAGAGGTTGTGGAGGTTGTAGTGCACCGAGGCTTTCTGCTTCGCCGAGGCACACACCGTCTTCGCAGAGAGGGAATCGCCCAGCACGGCTGCCAGGAGGGAGAGACCCCGTTGGGACATGGCGGTGGGGGGGTGCAGGGGACGCGGACACCACTCCCCAACGCTTGCCGCCTCTGGGTCAGCCCTCCCGCGCACAGAAGCCAGCCATCGCGGCCAACCCAGCGCCAGTGGCTCAAGTAGATGGTCCCATCCTGCACCCTGACACGGCCCTGACAAGCGTGCAAGGCTTGAGCACAGATACCAGCACACACAAGTGGGGATGGAGACATTCAGGGTGTAAAACGGAGACATGATATCTCTTAAAAATGGTTTCCTCCCACAGCACTTGGCTGCCAGCAATCTCCAAGCATGCGGTACCTGCCAGCCCAGCCTTGTATTTCATCTCCCTCCTTACCCGGGGTGTACGGTGGGCTGTCGAGCTCTCCCGGGGGGCAGCCGTCTTCAGACCCATCCATGAAGTTGGACGGCTCATTCATGTCCTAAGCAATGAAAATTGCAGAGTGTTTTCAAGGGGGAGGTTTTGGGGATTAGCAGTGAAACCTGGAAAAGCTGCATTTGAGGGACAGACGGTCCTGCCAGGACACACACTGGGTACGAGCCAAGCTGAAGGCCGGGAGGGACCCGGGGGGCAAGGAGGAACTCACGATCCAGAGGCCGTCGAAGGGCACGTGGGCATGGAAGTGCTGCAGGTTCTCCAGCCACCACCGGTGCGTGTCCGGGTTGGAGAAGTCTGCAAAGGCAGTGAAGCCGGGCCAGACCTGCGGGGACACCACAAAACCATGGGTTCAAGCGGGGGGCCACCGTGGGGAACAGGGTGCCACGGGGCTGTGAGCATGCTGAAGGACCCGGGGGTGAAATGGGCAATAAACCGGAAAATATTGGGTTTTGAGTACTGGATGCTGCACACACAACATCCCTCCTGCCTCCGTGGTACCCGGGAGCCTCAGGGTGCTGGGGACCCCTCCGCAGCCGGGCGGGCAGCAGCAGCTGATGGAGCGGCTGCTCTGCCTCTGCTTGCACCCAGGGCATGGCAGGGAAGAGCTGTGATTTCTCTGCACTTTGCCTCACTCCAGGAATTTTGGCCAATTTGTTTTTCCCTGTTTTCAGGCTGCATTAAAAGCCCTGTCCTTGTAGATGGCGAGGGAGAGCCGGTGGGAGCAAATGGCTGGGGAAGGAGGGGACAAACCAGAGGGGGGGAACCACTGCAGATCCGGAGGCGCATGTCTGTTGCGGACAACCTTCCCTCACCCCAAAAAAGGGAAGGGAGAGAAATCAGATGACCGGCCTTGGGTAGCACCGCTGCCTCAGTTAAGCTCATATGACTTCCACGGGCTCCTCTGCCGGCGCAGGGGCTGGCTCCCGGGGCCGGTGGAGACGCCGGGAGGTGACACGCGAGGCCGAGGGCTGAGCCAGGCTCTGGCAATCATCCCGGAGAAGTTCCTCAGCCGCTTGGCTTTCCCTCCAGCACGAGGGACGAAATCCCAACCCTGCTATTGCACAACCCCGCAGGGCTGGGATTTCCCCCCTCACCTGCCCGATGAGCGGCTGCCCTTGGGTGGTGTTGAGGAACAAGCCCCGTTTCAAGCCTTCGCAGTAGGAGCCGTGAGGGTTGGTGCTGCTGATGCCGGGATCCTGGGGATGGAGCAGAGGGTTAGCGCCTTTCCCGGCAGACCGTGGCCCCTTCCCCCTGCCAGGTCGGTGTGATTCAGAGATGACAACCCGGACGGGGTCAGCCAGAGCCCACACGCGGCGGCTGTTTCCCCCCAAGGGGAACAGAAACTTGCTTCAACACTTCCAGGCATATTTTCTAAAATGCCACTTCTGCAAGTCTCCAGGACCCGTTAGGGCGTTTTGGGGAGGGGGGGACAAATATAAGAAATCTTGCACTTATGCAAGAAACGTCAGGTCACAGCCAGGCTTGCGCTACAACAGGGAGGGAACCTGACCTTTCTGTCCCCAGGACCCCCGGTCCCCCCTGCCCCCAGCAAGCAGAACCCGCACCCCCTTTCCTCGCGGAGGGAAGAAGGGACATCACAGCCGGGTCACGAGATCCCAGCACTCGTGGGGATGTGGGGGCACCCAAGCCAAGCACCCACGAGTTAAACAGCCTGACCCACAGTTCCTCCATTCTTTTGCCCATGGGGGACAGGGGCATCCTTGTGCAGACAGCAGCACAGCACGAGAACCTGGCCTGTGGCTCCGCGGTCCCTGCATTCGGGGGGATTTCCAGTGGCAGTTCACAGCTGCCTGCCCAGCACTCGGGACCGACCTCAGATAAAAATCCCCGGGGGCCGGGGATGATCAGCTGGGACCATGAGTGTCCCTTACACCTCTGCCTTGCATCCCAACTCTGCAGCAAAGACAGGACAGGGGGAGAGGAAGGGGAGTACCAAGATCATAACGTAGCGCTGCCCGTGTTTGTGGAGGTCTTCCACCAGCGAGGGGAGGGAGACAAACTTCTGGGGATCAAAGGTGAAGTCCCGGTACCCATCCATGTAATCGATGTCATTCCACTGTGCATCCTGCGGGACAGAGGCTCAGGGATGGGTACAGACAGAGTCCAGACCCCCTCTCCACGGGTCTGGGGGGTTACCTGGGGGATCTGGTAGTTCCTCATGGCTCTCACGGTCTGCCAGGTCTCGTTGCTGGATCCGTAGCCCCAACGGCAGAGGTGAAAGCCGAGCGCCCAGAGGGGTGGCATGGCTGGGAAACCTGCAGCGGGAGAGCGGGAGCACAGATGGAAGTGTCCCAAGATGACAGCAGCATCTCAAAAGGACGGGAGGGGACAGGGAGAAGGGGGAAAGGAAGTGACTGCTGCCCCCTGATGTGCTGGGAGGGCTGGGGATGGGATGGCTGGGGAACGCTAACCGCTCCCCAACCGGGAGGACTGGGGACCGTGGTGAAGCTGGGGTGAGACAGGGATGGGGGTGTGGGGAAGGTGCCCGCAGATGGCCACATCAGGGGGCAGGCACTTACCTATCACCTGCTGGTACTGCTGGATAACCATGTTGGGATCGGGCCCCAGGAAGATGTAAAAATCCAGCACCCCCCCGATGGTCCTCCAGGTCAGGCCCGGAGCAGGCTGCAGGGCCACCTCTTGGGGGGGGGGGGGGGGGGCAAGAGAAAGAGAGAACACAGACCCCGACCCCCATGGTAGGAACCAGGCAGTGCCACAGGCAACACTCAGGCTCTGGCAGGGGAACAGGGAAAACCTTGCCTTGCGCTCAGCAGATGCTAAACGGGTGTCTAGAGGCTTAAATCATCACAGCCCAAGGAGATCACTAATTTACGTGGGGAGAGGGCTCGCTGTGTTAAAAATGTGGTCTTTAAACCCAAAGCTGTGCCATTCTCCCAGCTTTCACTTCAAGACCAAGCACAAGCAGGGCTTTCCTTCACATCCTCCCCCAAAATCCCCTCCTAAGTGAACCAAGAACTACATGTACCAGTGAGCATGGGGGAGCAAGGGCTTTCCTGGAAAGGGCTTTTCATGCAAATGAGCCCTTGAACCTCAGCTCGGGTAGCAGCATCTCCCCCGTGCTCTCCCGGGAGCTCCTCCTCGGGAGCATCGCTGCAGTAAAGCCCAGCGCAGCTGGAGCTACGAGAGCCCCGGCGTGCACGGCATCATCCCAGCTGGCTGCAAGCGGCGGCTGCTGGGAGGGACGGGTGGTCACCGGTGCCGTCCCCACGACGGCAGGAGCCCGCGGGAGCTGCTGCGTTAT